CCAAGTGCATTTATTTTAAAAATGAAATTTTACATCACTATTATCAGTGGAACAGTGATATTCCAGTATCCAAAATCAGTATCATTTGCCATAAATGAAAAAACAAAACAAAACAAAACAAAACAAAAAGTATGTGAAACAAGACAAGAGGAAAGCTGTGTTATTTAAACTTTGGCTGGACACCACTGCAGGCCCAAAGTTCTTAGCCTGAGGTTGGCTCTCTTGTTTAAAAGGGAGATTGGCAGGTGTTAGAGGAACAGGAAGGTATTCCAACACCCTGAGTCACCAGGAATGAAGAAGGAACAGCTTCTCATTTCATGAGTCGGTGATATTGCTGCTGCTACATTCCTGTAACCCGTCAGTGTCATTTCACCTGCCAGGCTCCAGCTCCCACAACCTCACAACAAGCACTTTCTATAGCAGTGTCCCTACCCCACATATTCTACCCTCCAAAGGCATATTTGTGAATTTCTCCCCACATTAAGAGTTCCCTCCCTAAAATTCAACTTGGTAATTGGGAATAGGTCAGGGGTCGTTTGGGTGGACATCCCCAGGGCCCTGGCTTTCAGAAGAATCAGCCCAGAAAAGCAGCCAGGCACTCTGTGGTCACCCACTGCTTCAGTCCCAGAAGTCACAGCCCTGTTACTGCAGTGCTCAATGTGACCAGGGGACACCCCAGAACATACAGATACTCTATATGCTCCCGTAAGGACAAGCCTCTGGGCAAGTTACAAGGTTTGGGCTGTGACCTTGGGGATGGACGGCTAGGATCATATGTAGAACACAGCTGTTGACAAAGCTCCAAGCCAGTGTTTGCGCAGGGAGCCATGTGGACGTGGCCTTACGGAGTGGATTCCTGTGACCACATGGGAAATAACTGCTTTGCAGCACACATGAAGATGGGGGCCTGGAATTTTCCAGAAATATCTCTGGCCAAGGACAATCAGGCTGAGCTCAATTTATAACAGTTAAATTTTTAAAGGGAGCATTTCAAATCCTCCAGTCAGAGCAAATGGTTGAGAAATGGTTTCTGTTTGTTTATCTTCATGTGTCAACTTTTTTTCATTTTCTTAGAAAAAGGCCATGTAAGGTAGTTACCAACCAGAAAACAAATCAGGAAAATGGCAATAGTATCAGACTAGGGTTTGGTCTATTTCCTTTGGGTGCTAGTTTATTTGCAAAGCAGCTGCTGATCAAATTATGTCTATTAATAAAAAGCCATGAGGTTGCAAAATCTCTCTGATCAGCAGTGTGAGGCTGTTACTTATAATTCAGAACTTCCCTGAAGGAATTCTGAAAGGGAAAAGGCTTTCCTCCCCCCCCCCACATCCTTTTTCTTTCCATTAATAATAGTAATATTTATAGTTACCTTTTATTGAATGGTTACTGTGCCCAGAGCACTGTTCAAAGAGCTACACAGAGATCAACCCATTAATACTCACAGTAACATTTCCAAGTAGGAATTCTCACCTGCTACATCACAGATGAGAAATCAGCTGCCAATAGCCAACAAAAGGAGCCTTCATACAATGACATGACAATGAATTACATTTGATCCACCACACGAAATGCCTCATTAAAGGAAAATGCTTGCACAGTAGCTAAAAAATAGAAGCAAAGCAAGTCTGCCTTTAAAAGAAGGAAATTCTGACACACACTTCAATATGGTTGAACCTTAAAGGACGTTATGCTAAGTGAAATGAACCAGCCACAAAAGAACAGATACTGTAGGATCCTTCCTGTGTGATGTACCTAGAGTAGTCAAAGTCACAGAGACAGAAAGTAGAATCGTGGTAGTCACAGGTGGTGGGGAGGGACGATGGGAGTGGGTGTGAATGGGGACAGAGTTTGGGGAAGATGGAAAAGTTGTGGAGAGGGCGGGTGGTGGCGGCGGCACGATGATGTGAATGTGCTCAGGACCACTGAACTGCACACTTACACACGGGCAAAATGATAACCTTACGTAGAAAAAACGGGATTTTGCACAAAAAAAGAAAGAAAAAGAGAAAGAAACAAACACCATTAAAAGCATTCACTACATCATACATACATCTCTTTTTTTAAAAAAAATTCAGGACAAGGCCAGTCACTGTGGCTCACGCCTGTAATCCTGGCACTCAGGGAGGCAGAGGAGAGTGAATTGCTTGGGCTCTGGACTTCAAAACCAGCCTGAGCAAGAGCGAGACCCCATCTCTACTAAAAATAGAAAACTTAGCCAGGTGTTGTGGCAAATGCCAATAGTCCCAGCTACATAGGAGGTTGAGGCAGGAGGATCACTTAAGCTCAAGAGTTTGAGGTTGCTGTGAGCTACTGTGATGCCACAGCATTCTCCCAAGGGGGACAAAGTGAGACTCTCAAAAAAAAAAGGAAAAAACAAACACGTCAGTACAAACCTCAATGCTGTGGGTTCCTTTCATTCACAACACAGATCTAAGGAGTGCCAGGCAGTATACTAAGTGGTGGGGCTACAAGGTTGAATCAGGAGCAATGCTCTGAGACACATCAATTAACTGACCAGTAAAATCGTAGCCTCTAGCCCAGACACAGTGCTGCTGCATGCCAGGCCCTGGTTCAGCTAGCATACCTGCATGAACTCAAATGATCCTCATGGCCTCCATTCTTGCCCCATTCTACAAACAAGGAGGTTGAGGCACACAGAGGTTAGGAAAGTTGTCTAAGGTTATGGAGGATTCACATTCATGCAGGCAGGCTCAGAGTCTGACAAACACAGTCTAGGATGCAGTGGCCACCCAGGGGTATCGAGCACAAACAAACTGCAGGGGTTGAAGGAAGCAACTTTTGAGCTAAGTCCAGAGCAAAGTCAGCAAAACTACAACTTATGGGCCAAATTTGACTTCCTGCCTAGTTTTGCAAATAAAGTTTTATTGGAACACAGCCATGCTCATTGTTGTACATACTGTCCATGCTGCTTTTTCAATGCCTGGGCAGAAACCATATGGCCTGCAAAGTGGAAAACATTTGTCATTCAGCCCTTTGCAGCAGAAGTTTGCCAACCCTATTGTAAGGGTTAACAGGAAAACATTTGGTGAGGTGCTTGTGCCAACTCAGCCTTCTCCAGGCATCTGTCCGTCCCTCTGCCCTCTCCCAACTGATGCCCCTGCCTCAGGGCTGGCAGCCTTCCCTTCTCCACAGATAGAGCTTCCAACAGCTCTCCCTGCTCTCACTCTTAACCTCTGCCACCTTTCCATCACCAGAGGAAAAAGACTGACCTGAGGCTCAGACTGGGTCCCAATGCCTTCCTTTTCAAACCCATTTGGAGGCTCCCCACTGTCTCAGAAGGGCAGTTGGACCTTCATAAGGCCTCCAGGACCCGTGTGATCCACCCTGCCCTTCCTCCAGCCTCATCTTGTCCCATCCTGTGCTCTTGCCGCCCTCTCTCCGGAGTGCTCTTCCACCATCCTTTGGCTGCCCTACTCCCCCTCCCACCCCCTGCACCCTGGGCCAGCATTGGCTCCCCTGGGAATCTCAGGTTCACCCCCTTGCTTCTCCTTCATAACACTACAGTGATGTCATAGAAACCTATTTAATATGTTTTGGGGAAAACAGGCCAAAGGGTGGCAGGCATGGGTGGACTGAACCTGCCCCTATAATTTCCATCAAACCTGCTTACAGCCCCCAACCCTCTCCAAATATAAACACAACAAAAGGGGGACTGTTTCACAAACACGGATGCAAGGTCGATCCCCTGCAATCCCCTGCAATCTCATCTCCACCCAGACTGCCATCCATAAGTCCTTCCTGGGTATAAATTTTGTAGGCACTGCTGTCCCCCAAGCAGAATGGCAGTTCCTAGAGGATGGGGACCATCTTCGTGCAGCTCCTCTGTTTACTCCTGGTGCCTAGCACGGAGTCTAGTGCCCATGAGTTTTACATATTTACATTCATGTTGAGCAGGAGGTGGGGGGGGTGTGAAACAGTGGGGACATTCACATGGGAGAGTAGCCCAGAGGGCATGCTGGTGTGGGAGTAGTCCTAGGTGACAGAATTGGGCAGTCCTCTCAACTCCTCAAATTCTAAAAGCACCCCAGCCCTCAGCAGGACATCTTCATACTTTTGAGGGCTTTGAAAGTCAGAGACCCTGCTGTGGGTGGAGATGTGCAGGGGTAATGGTCTCTGGGGGCTCCTTTATCTATAATTGTCATGCTCCGCCACATGGGCCTCGGATACAGAATGAGGTGCCCTGGGAGCACTGCAGCCTCTTGAGTGCTGTGGTGACCACCATACCAAGCTCCAAGCTCCATCTTCAGTAAGCAAGGGAGGACTGACCCCAGGCACAGGTCTCCCCTTGGAAAAAGCTCACAGCCCCCCCTTCTGGAGTGGACAAGATCATAGACCCTGGGAGGGATGGGACCATTTTGGCACCAGGCCCACCAGAGGAGGGTGAGGGTTTAGCAGAGGAGACACAGGCCCTCAGACGCATCCGCTCACCTTTGCTAGCTGCGTCTGCAGCTTGTTCTTCATGTCCATCACCTCCGCGATGCGGGCGTTGAAGGCCAGATTGGTGTCGGTGAACTGCTTCCACATCTGATCCGACAAGGTCTCCAGGAGGTGCTCTGCCTCCTCGCGCAGCCGGATGGAGTTGGCCCGCATGTTCTGAGAGTGTCTGATGTTGTCGTTACTGAACTTGGCCCAGGTCTCAGGCACCGAGATCCTGCAAAGCACAAGGGCAAATTTAATGCAGGTGAGGAGTGGGGGGAAGGGTGGCCAGTCCGGAGACCTCTGAACCCAGGGTTGCTCGGCCTCGGCAGTCTAGTGTCCAGGCTGGGAAAATGTCTGTTGTGGGGGGAGGAGGCTTCCCTGCGCATGATAGGATGCTTAGCAGCGTCCCTGGCCTCTACCCAGGGGATGTCAGAGGCACCTCTCACCCAGTTGTGACAACCAAAAATGTCTCCAGGCATTGGCCAATGTCCCTTGGGGGAGGGGCGCGGTCACTGTTAGGAACCACACAATCCTCATTTCACAGGCTAGGCAAGGGCAGTCTAGGGAAAGCGGCTGGTTTCCAAAGGGCACTCGGGGAGTTGGCAGAAGAGGAGGGTCCCAACCTCACAGAGAGCTCTTTCCCTCACCCTCTCCCCTGTCACCCAAAACACAGACAGGCCCACTGGGCACAGTGGCGGCTCAGTGTCCCTCCAACTCGGCGCCGAGCACGTGGCCGTGCTACTTTTGCTGACTTCCTCATTCAACAATTTGAACACCCGCCACATGCCAAGCATTGTTCTAGGCCTTTGAGATAGAGCCCTGAACAAGAACGGCAGCATCCCTGTTCTCTCAGTGATTAATTTCCAGAGGAGGGAGATTGACAACAAACAAAGGAGATATTTACACATTGCCTGTGTGCTGGGAAGGAATTTAGAAGCAGGATGAAAGCCAGACAAACGGAGTGGAGCTGTGATGTGGGGGTCAGTGTGGTGAAAGGGAACAGATGGACTATTTGATGAATGTTGAGTCAATCAGGGATTAGAACATGCAGGAAAATGCCTCCACTCCAGCTGTGAAAGGCAAGAAGAAAAGGAACAAGAGCCCTGGGAGGGAGGCGCCATGGGGAACCACAGTACCTGGGAGCCAGGGACGGAATAAACTCCCCACCTGGCTCCCCGCCCACCCTGTCTTCTGCCCAAGCCCCTTCTGGCTGAACCAGTCAGGAAAGCCCAGGGCAGGGAGCCCAGGAGAGGCCGTCCACAGAGGACAGCTTCCTCTGCAGCACACACAGCAGGGCTGCTGGAGAATGGATCTGGGGGATAGGTGGAGATGGATACAGGCCACATCAGCAGGGCAGGCAGGGAAGGCTGCTCTGGATCTAGACTACACAAAGTGCTTCCTGGCAGCGCATGCAAATCCCTAAAACAAGCAACTGAAGGATCAGATGGTATTTTCGCCTGTGGGAAGCCTTTAAGGAAGGGAAGGTCTTTCTTTAAACTGGCTTCAGATTCTGGCTAAACCAGACTAGGTAACTTCTCAAGGTCTTTTTTATTTTGTTTTGTTTTTTCGTTCTAGAAGTCTCCGGTTCTTAAATAAGGCAGATTTTTATTCTTAGGCCAAAGGAAAAGAGGAATTCTGTTTTCTGACAGTTCAAAGCATACTTAAGTTGTATGGTGAATAGAAATTTTTAAAACCATATATAAACATGTGACTGTTTTGCCTGGGTTTTGGAGGAATTAAAATCAGCTACAACAAACAGGTCTCAGGCTTCTGGAGAAGGGAGAGGACATTGTGTCTGGTTCAGAGCTTCCATCCAGCCAAGACTTGAGGCTCAGAGAGGTGAAGCTTCTTGTCCAGGGTTGCACAACTACTCAACATCCCTGGATACCATGGAAGGAGGAGAGGCCGAGGACAGCAGGTAGAAACATACAGATTTACTTTGAGCGTCTGTGTTGGTGCTGAATGGGGCACTGTCAATGTCAAGAACAGCAACCTCTAAGCCCTTGCCCTCCCCTGGGAGCAGACAGCTTAGCTCCCTAGAGAAAATAACCAGCTAAATCACATTGTCCCTGGGGGTAATTTGCCAAAGACAGTCTGTCAACTCAGTGGGCAGTATGTCTCAGCAGGGAGGATGTGCTTTCTGGAGCCTATGTCCTTTAAAGACAGAGGGGACAGCAGGTTTCTCTGGGGAGGCAGGAAGCCACCACTGCTAAAACACACAGGGCCAATATCCAATGTAGGTGCAGATCACATCTCTAACATTTGCTGTGTGAGCTTGAGCCAGATCCTTCACCTCTCTGAGCTTTAGGTTCCTCATGGTAAAATGGGAATGATATACCCACCCCTAAGGTTGCTGAGTGACTAAATGTAAAGCTTTTGTCATCGGACACATAGTAAGCACTTGATGAATGTTTATTATTCACGAGACACTGTGATGCTCTCGGCACACGTCCAGCACATAGTAAGCATCAGGTAAAAGGCATCTACTGTCTTCATCATCATCATGAGAACTACATACAGAAGGCACAAGAACAGAAGTACCACTGCAATTGAGACAGTCACCAAACGTCCTTCTTAACCTGCCCAGACACGGCCCTGCCTTAAGAAAACCCTAAATACAAGCCCTGAGCTAGCACATCACATCTGGGGAGCAATTAGTCACCACAAACAGTGGCTCCTCTTCCCAGATGGAGTCATAGATAGGGATTTTAAATAGCGGGCCCCACCTGGGCATGGAAATCAGAATCTTTGCCACGCTGCCTGGCGGCCAAGGTTTTGGGGAGGCATCAGTCTGGGAAGAGAGACCCTCTGGGCCCTGTGCAGATAAGGAGGGTCAAGTCCCCAAAGTGCTGCTCACCTTGCCAGGCCCAAGGGAGAGTCCACCCTTTCAGGGACAGGAAGACGGTCTCCAGGAGTTGTCATTGCTGGAAAGCCCAACGGGTCATCTCAACACTTCCATATTTGCTAAGATCCAGAAAGTAACCCAGGCTTGGGCCACGCAGACTGCCCAGGGCGCCTTCCTTCTCTTTGCCTTCCCTTCTCTCCTTGCTCCTCTCTCTCTTTTTCGTCCTCTTTTCATTCCTTCTTCCATTCCATAACTATTTATTGCATATCTCTATGTGCCAAGCATAGTTTGATATGCAAGAGATTTAAAAGGAGAGGGAGGCGGAACCAAGATAAACAGACTCCAGACTGCCAGTTGGGAAAACACGTCTTAGTTCTGCATGAAACTCCGCAATGCTGTGACATACCCATAAAAATGCAGGGTGTACAGAAGGCGCCCACCTGTAGCCGCCACAATGACGAGATGAGGCCAGGCAGCAAGCACTCAGTAAATGTTGGCTGTTATCATTCCACAGGGGGTTCTGTGCTTAAGTTCACACACCCGCGTTCTTTCACTCACAGCAGCCCTGGGAAGTGGTACTGTTAGTACCATGGGGGACCACAGGACCTGGGAGTGAGGGATTGCTGTTTCCCAATTGGGGAAAAACTGTACTGTTTTTTTTTTTTTTTCCAGTGGGAGAGGTGCAGAAACAAGGCCTAAAGAGGTGAAACCACTTGCTAAGTGTTAGCACAGAGGCTAGGATTTGAAGCCAGGCTTTCTGGCACCAGAAATAACTCTCTTAAACCAGTGCCAGTGCCAGTGGGCATCAGCTGAACCTCCCAGGTGAGCTGGTCACTTGTTTTGGAATTTGTTTGATGAAATTGCTGAGCGCTGATGGCCACGCAGCCCTCCCTAAGCCGATCACACCTTCTCTCCTGACACCTGGATCTTGAGCAAAGTGCGGCAAGGACAGAAAGATGGAGGCGCTCAGGCAGCGCGGCTGGTTAGCTCCCGTCAGACAACGCAGCTGGTCGGCCCCCACACCCTCACCTGCTCCGACTGTCAGAACCTTCCCCTCCAGTCTTCCCCTTGAGTTTGTGTTTCCTTGCGGCCTTCCACTAAATTCCATTTTCTCTTCAGTTACAGTTGGAGACTGTACGTGCTTCCAACAGAGGATCCTCACTCAACCACACCGCCCCTCACTTGGCTCGTGGCACAACACCTCTTTATTGCTCCCTGGTAGGAGCAGAAGCCCTCACCCTGGTTGGACACGGCCAGGGCTGGGGACAGAGAGCCTGATACTCACGTGCCGTCGACTTTCTCCATACCGTGGAAGTAGCTGATGCAATCGGATGTGTTCCTCAGGTTAAAGCACTTCTCATCGATAAAGTGGGCTGAGCTTTTGTCCTCAACGTCCCTTTCCAGGGCATGCTGGGCATCTCGGTTGTCCCTGCGGAGAGGAAGGGTTCATCCCTGGATTGTGCACAGCCAGAGTCCCCCCCACCCCCAGGCTGGTGCTCTGTCCACACCCAGGGCCTTCTTAGGTCTCTTTCCACCTGATATCCTCACCATGTACCCAGAGCCCCCCCTTCTCCCCCACCTCCCTCCAATCCAAACAGCCATGTTGTCCTTTAGAACAGGGATGGGCAAGTGTTTACAGTAAATGGCCAAATAGTAAATATTTTAGGCTTTGTGGGTCATATGGTTTCTGTTGCAACTACTTAATTATGCACAAAAGCAGTCAGGGATAGCATATAAATAAGTGTGTGTGGCTTCATTTCAATAAAACTTTATTCACAAAACCACAGCAGGTCAGATTTGTCCCTTCAGGGGCAGTTCGCTGACCTGGATTTAGAAGATATCAATTCATATTTTGGACAAAGCCTGTATCAAGTCAAATCACTTCGAAGGTCATTGTGTCTGACCCTGTGCTGGGCACAGAGGAACAAGACAAGGAGACCCAGCACTGTCTTCAGGTTGTTCACAGATCAGTGTAAACAAATACAGAAAAAGAAATCTAGACCAGAGTGGGAGGGCAGCAGTGCAGGTGTGAAAGACTACCAAGTAATGAAGAGAAGGAAACTACTGAGTCAGGTGACAGCGTGGTCGGGGGGCTTCCCTGGAGGGGAAGTGTCTGAACTGGACACTTTTCACAACAGGAGTGGACATCATAGACAAAGGTGCATGGGGGGATGAGGATTCCAAACTGAGGATACCCAGGTGTTCAGGAACAGGTAAGTAGCTCATTAAGGCAGGCAGGTCAGGGACTACGCTGGGTCAGGGACTGGATGGAGTCAGGGACTGGGCAGGTCAGGAATTGGGAGGAGTCAGGGACTGAGCAGAGTCAGTGACTAGGCTGGGTCAGGGCCTGGGTGGAGTCAGGGACTGGCAGGGGTCAGGGATTGGGAGGAGTCAGAGCCTTTACTGAGGAAAGGAGTGGACAGTGGGGCCCCACTGGGGCTTCAGCCTGGAGGGCTGCATGGTGGGCGACCAGGCAGCTTGGAGCTAAAGGCCACTGTTCACCAAACTCCAGACATCTGAGAACCACTGTCATGCTCCTGCCAAACATCAAACTCTACTATTATATCATTTACTTATTTTGCTCTTTTGCAATCACTTTAAAAATACAAATAAGTGCATTTTAAAAGGAAAATTTGCATCCTTATTTTTAAAGGGAAACCAATAACCCTTTCCATTAGTAGAAAAATCACCTCTGACATAAAAATGCTATGTAGACACTAACTAAATCCAGCTGTGATCTATTGCCTCCAGAAAGTTCTAGGCTGAAACCTTTCTCTGTTTCCCTGGTAATTGAATAAAAAGGAGATTAGTCAGTGTTAGAGACACCTAGGCATGGAATGGAGTGTTGAGAAGAATTGTAAGAAAGTGGAGGGGGGAATTACCTCCTGAGTGAAATTGTGTCCGACACCACCTGAGGGGAGTGGTCTCCTGCTGGTCTCTCTCCCTCCTTCTCCGCAGGTCAGTCTATCTGCCTCTCTCCCCTTCCCTCCCTTCCCCCACTTCCTGCATCTTTTTCTCTGTCTCTCTAATCTTTGTTCCGGCTGTCTCTGGGCCTCTGTGTCTCTCCCTCTCTCTCCTTCATCTGTCTCTATCATTTTGTGTCTCTCTCTCTTTCTCCCTCCCTGCCCCCATGGATACTGTTTACTGGTGAGGGGTGTCAAGCAGGCTGGGGACAAGGATATTAAATCCCAACAGGACGTGCAGTCATGTCAGACAGGAGGAATCATGCGGGGTCCCCAGGACCTTCCAAATCATCAGAGCCAGAGAGAAGATCTGCACAATGAACAGGAATGTGGGGCAGCACTGAAGGTGTGCCTGGGGGGCTCAGGATCCAGGGGCCAGCTGCCTGGCCCTTGCTAATGCGGTCTGGAGGAGGGAGCAGTGCTGTCTCCTTAGTCCACAACCGAGGAGCAGGAAAAGCCCAAACCTGGCTCCTCCTCAGTCAGGAAGAGACTTTTCTGCTTGACTGGGTGCCTGGTGATGTGAGGACACCACCCACCCAGATTTGGGCCTCAGGCCTCAGAGGAAACCACGCAGCAGGGTGGCCACCTGAGCAGGTCAGCGAGCTTCCTGGAGTGGGTGAGGACACAGCAAGTTCCGCTCAGCTGATGAGACTCTGGCTGGCCCTTGGTTAATTAAGATAATCGTGATACCACCAGCAGCATGTGCTGTGTCCCCAGGAGAGGACAAATGTCCTATGACACATGGGCCAGTGCCCAGGGACAGACAACCGCTGTCCAGTCCTTGCAAAGGGCAATGCCACCCTCACCAGCTCTCTTCCGGTCCCCCCAACACTCTGCTGAAGTTCTCTCTCTCTTGCTTTTTTCTCTCTCGTCTCTATCCCAGCATCTCCCTCTCTCTTCCCCCCTTTCTCTGTGCCTCTGTCCATCCTTTTGTTTTCTCTGTCTCTGTCTCATCTCGTGAGTTCCCTGTCTGGCATATTGGACGCTCTGTCTCTGTCTCCCTCCCCCATCTCTGTCTCTGTTTCTCTCTTTCTGTCTGTCTGTCTCTCTTGATATCAGTGCTGATTCTGTTTCTCTCTGAGTCTCTCAGTCTCTGGGACTGTCTCCGTCTGCCTCAGTCTCCCGGTTCTCCCACCCCTTGTGTCGTCCTCTGGGACCGCACAGGCAGCCTCCTTGCCCTGGTCTGAGGATCCTGCGCCCCGTTCAAGTCTGGAATCTGCTCACTCTGCCACCTCAAACTGCCCCAAGCATCAGCCTCCCCACTCTGCCCAATGCCATTTTGCTACATCCCTATGTCAGTCACAAATGGAAAACCACTCTCTCGCCATAAACGGGAGAACACCAAAGTCAGTGGAAGAAAGTACAGAATAGAGAGGCCAGGAATAAATCCACACATTTACAGCCAATTGCTTTTCAATAAAGACGCCAAGAACACACAATGAGGAAAGGACGACTTCTTCAACAAATGGTGGTGGGACAACTAGAAACCCACACACAGAAGAAAGAACTTGGAGGCTCATCTAACTCCATATACAAAAACCAACTCAGTAGAGATTAGGGAAGCCGTAAGTGTGAAGCCTGGAACTATAAACCACTAGGAGGAAACACAGTAGAGAACCTCAGGACATTGGTCTGGGCAGTGACTGGTCTGGGCAGTGATTTTTGGACATGACTCCAACTGCACAGGCAACGGAAGCAAAAATAGACAAATGGAATTATATCAAAGTAAAAAGGGTCTGTACAGCAAGAGAAACAGTCAACAGAATGAAGAGACAGCCTTAGAAATGGGACAGAATCCACGCAAACCACTGATACGGGGTTAACATCCAAACTATATAAGAAACTCAAACACCTGAATAGAAAGAAAACAAATGACCCAGTTAAAAAATGGGCACAGTTATGTTAGCAATAGTCAAGATATGGAATCAACCTTAATGTCCAAAAACAGATGAATGGACAAAAAAAGGTTTTACACACACATATATATATGTACATATATATATATATATTTATGATTTGCAACAACCTGGAGTACATTATGTTAAGTGAAATAAACCAGGCACAGAAATAGAAATATTTAATAATCTCATTTACATGTAGAATCTAAAATAATTGAACTCATAAAACCAGAGTGTGCAATTGTGGTTAGCAGAGTCTGGGAGAGAGGCCTGGGGAGATGCTAGTCAAAGTATACAAAATTTCATTTACAGAGGAATATGTTCAAGTACAACATTGTGACTCTAGTCAGTAACAATATATTATAGGGCGGCTCCTGTGGCTCAAAGGAGTAGGGCACTGGCCCCATATGCTGGAGGTGGTGGGTTCAAACCCAGCCCTGGCCAAAAAACTGCAAAAAAAAAAAAAATCACTAAGAAAGATTGTTAGGGAAAAAAAAAAAGATTGTTAGCATTTTCACCACACACACAAAAAAAATGGTATGGATATGAGATAATGTGCATATGTTAATTAGTTTGATTTAGCCATTCCACAATGTACACATATTTCAAAATACCAGGTTGCACATGATAAATACAGTATACAAGGGCCGTGATATGAAATGTAACATGAAAAATAGTATTCACAATGCTGAATACTTTCCAGGCACCCCTCAGATACTACTTTCATTTGCCACTTAAAAATGAATAATTAAATTAAAAAAATAAGCTCAAGTGGGCCGGGCGCGGTGGCTCGTGCCTATAACCTTAGCATTCTGGGAGGCCGAGGTGGGTGGATTGCCTGAGCTTACCCGTTTGAGACCAGCCTAAGCAAGAATGAGACCTTATCTCTAAAAATATCTGGGCATTGTAGTGGGCTCCTGTAGTCCCAACTACTTGGGAGACTGAGGCAAGAGAATCACTTGAGCCCAGGAATTTGAGGTTGCTGTGAGTGATAACATTACAGCACTCTACCCAGGGCAACAGCTTGAGACTCTGTCTCAACAACAAAAAAATAAGCTCAAGAAAAATACAATAAAAGAAGGCATGCTGTTTGGACAGCAGTGGCCTTTGTTAAAATTTGCCTGTTCAATTATAAGTATTTAAGGGTTAAGTCAATTATTATTATTATTGTTATTATTTTTTTTGAGACAGAGTCTCACTGTGTCACCCTCAGTAGAGTGCCATGGTGTCACATACAACCTCAAACTCTTGGGCTTAAGTGATTCTCCTGCCTCAGCCTCCCGAGTAGCTGGGATTACAGGTGCCTGCCACAACACCCTGTTATTTTTTTGTTGCAGTTGTCAATTGTTGTTTAGCTGGCCCAAGCTGGGTTCCAACCCGCCACCCTTGGTACATGTGGCTGGCGCTGAGCCTAAATTACTGCATCTTTAAACTGTAGGTAGCAATAGTCCGGGTGTGGGTGGCTTGGTGAGGAATGGGGACAGAGGCGCTCGTGATTGCTTTTGTCCTTTTAGCTGTCACCTCTGCCCCTTCCGTACCTGCATCAGGTCTGCACACTTCCAGCTGCCATGTCTCCCTGGGTCTCCCCTAGCTTCTCTGCCCCAGCCAAGCCCTCTGCTGTCCAGGTAGCTTTTCTGCAGTGTCTTTCCCCTTTTTATTCTGGATGATTCTTTCTCATCCCCCACATCCATTTCTAACCCCCTCAGGGGAGTCCAAGGGTTCCTTGAAGGGGAGGTGACCACTATTTCTGGGACACAGCAAACCAGGGCGGGAGAGCACTCAAGGCTGATCTGGAAGCTGCCTGGCCACTTTGCACCCTCCCAGGCTGCCCCCATCCACCCCACCGTGGGAAGGGCAGCCCTGGCCAGGTTGTCAGCCCATCCTGTATTCTCTGCGTTGCTGTGTCAAGAGTCAGTGAAGAGGGGACCAGCAAGCGGCGTGCCCTGAAGGAGTTAAAGGTGACTATCTGGCTTCAGGGCAAGGTGGGGAAGTTGCCTCCCTGGAAGCTGGGTGCCAAGGGCTTAGCTATAGGCTTCAAGCCCTGTAAAATTCAAGCCTCCCTTTAATTATGAGAGGGGCCTCTTGGCTTGTCATGATACTGATTGCATAATCTAAGAACAAAAAGTTGATTTCTTTTGAAGGCTCCTGGCTCAAGGCGCCCACCAGCTCTCTTCCGGAGACATCCTAGCCCCGGGCTTTGATGCCTAAATGCACTTCCCAAAGTTCAGAACCTGTATGTTGACCGCTGAACCCACAAGCCAAGAGGGGTCCCATGGAGGAGAATTCTCTGTTGCCAGGGCCCTCATTACAAACAAGGGCAGCCAGTGCCACACTGGCTTGTGAGCGCCAACCTCAGTGACATCATCTCAGTCGCTTGCCATTATGGCAGCTTTTACACCACAGAAATGAGCAAATTTTACATCTCAGGATTTTTGTTTCTTTGTTTTTTCCTGGAGAGCTGGTTGTAAACGATTCACCTGCATAACCATTAACCGAAAGCACCATCCAGAGATAAGTGAGCCCACCCGGCTTGCCCACAGAACCCTGGGAGTCCCAAAGCAAACCCAAGGAGAAGGGAGAGAAAGACATCCTTACCGCATCTGGATATCAATTCTTTGAGCTAATTTTCTCATCTGTTCTTGGCAACATTTTAGCAAATCTACCTCCTGAAATGAAAAATGTCATAAAGAGCAGGGCCCCTGGGAAACTCACAGTCCTGTCTCCCAGGCCAGAGCCCTCGCCCCTCACCTCTCATGCCCACCCTCAACCCCACAAGGTGAAATGTCATGTTGGGGTTCCCACCTCAATCCACAAGACCCCAGGGCCAGAAACTAAGGGTCGATAGTGGAGGCCTCACACTTGGCCTTACTTTCTCTTCTTTTTATATGCCTCCAGTTTGAAAAAAGGAATTAGCACCTGCTGTGTGCCAGTGCTCACTTCTAGATTGTTTTTCATTATATTAAATAATGTCTTTGAAGTAGTACAGCATATAGCGTACAGCAGGTGCTTAATGAACACTAGCTTTTTAAATTATCATTGGAGTGGTAATATCTCTTGGTGTGGTAATATTCATCTCCCATTTTGGAGATGAAAAGACTGAGAGTCAAATGACTCCATCTCTCCCTGTTTTTAAACCACAACCCAGGCCCACACCCATGATTTCTGAGCTCTAACTTTCCACAAGATGACACATGGCTTCTACCCTCAACAGGCAACTCAGAAACCTTTCTAACAGGCTGGCCCACTTGCCTCCCTCAGGGCCTGGGCAGACCCTGGAGACCTCTTACCCCAGTGGTTCTCAACCTGTGGGTCACGACCCACAGGAACTGTATTAAAGGGCCGCGGCATTAGGAAGGTTGAGAACCACTGCCTTACCCGAATAAGGTTTTTCTCCACGTTGTCATGGACCAAATCAATCCCGATCCTTTTCTCTCGATGGTAAAGACACTCCAGGGCCACCTGTAGGGAACAGCAGGAAAGAGCGTATTCCCCTGCATGGAGACTCTGGGAGGGGATGGCCCTCATCTCCCTTTGCCACAATCTGTTCTCTCTGAAAATCCTGGGTTCTATATGGGACCCCGTTACTACATTAGGTGGGCTTCTGCCTCCCGTTGCCCCTCAGTGGAGCTATGGCTGATGCACTAGGATAGCGGCTCTGAACCTGTGGGTTGGTCGTGACCCACAGAAACTTTATTAAAGGGTCGAGGGGGAAGCAGCAGCAGGGTTGGGAGGGCAGAGGAGTTCGGGAATGAGGGTGTTTATTTCTGGGATCACCTTTCTGGTGGGTGCAGGGGTTGGGAGACCAGGAAGGATGTGGTCACCATTGTCCAGGGAGAAACTGCCTGGACTGAGGGGGAAGTCCAAGAGATAGACTTGAGACATCTTTGATCTCTGTGCCACCACGTGGCCACATGTGACCAGGCAAAGTGGGGCTTTCCAGATAGGTCAGGGAGTGAGGAAGGAGGTTAAGGGAGGCCAGACACAGTGGCTCACACCTGTAATCCTAGCACTCTGGGGGGCCGAAATAGGCAAATTGCTTCAGCTCACAAGTTTGAGACCAACCTGAGCAAGAGTGAGACCTGTTTCTAAAAATTAGCCTGGCATTGTGGTGGGTGCTTATAGTCCCAGCTACTCAGAAGGCTGAGGCAAGAGGATTGCTTGAGCCCAAGAGTTTGAGGTTGCTATGAGCTATGGCCACGCTACCATAGAAGGCACCCTACCAAAGGTGACAAAATGAAACTGTCTCAAATAAATAAATAAGAAAAAGAGAGAGTGCAAGGAAAAGGCAATAGATTTGGGACACTGCCATAGGTCTTTGAGAAGCAGCTTTGCCCACCCTCCTTCCAAGGGAAAATCGGAGGTGGGGGACAGAAAGAAACAGTGGGCCTCTCCTCCCCTACATGGGTTTGCAAATTCCTGACTGGTGGCAATGTGTACCAAGTCTCCCAGGGGTGTTGGAGGCTGACCTCTCCCACAGAAGTCTCAGCCACCAGACGGCACCTGTGGCTCAAGGAGTAGGGGACTGACCCCATATATAGGAGGTGGCATGTTCAAACCCAGCCCACTCAAAAACTGCAAAAAAAAAAAAGAAAAAAAGAAAGGAAGTCCAAGCAGCACCTGTGGCTCAAAGGAGTAGGGCACCGGCCCCATATGCTGGAGGTGGCAGGTTTAAACCCAGCCCTGACCAAAAACTGCAAAAAAAAAAAAATAAATAAATAAAAGAAGTCCCAGCCCCCAGACTTCAGCAAACACAGCTGAGGAGGCTTCCAGGCAGGAGGTCCCCACGCCAGGGAGTAGCAGCACCGTGTTCTGTGTGGCCAGCATGAGTCCCATAGAGGCTGCTGGTCCCTTACACCAGGTCCACTCAACCCCTTCCACAAGAAACATGTGAATTCTAGCAAATGGGCAAAAATAGGAACCCATGGTGGGCTTTCTGGAAAAACATATTCCCTGATAAAATGGGACAGACTCAACTAATGTGTTTGCTCTTTGCCCCACCCACACCTTCCTGCATGAGAAGAGGCTCCTTGCATGCAGGGAGGTACAATGTGAAATATGAAGCCTCCTTGTAAGCCTGAACCATGGGACAAAAGCCACATGCTACAGGTGGCAGAGCAGATGGAGAACAGCCTGGGTTCCTCCTGGCATCACATTGAGGCTACAGCAGCCTGATCTGCATCTCTCCAGAATTTTCATCATGGCTAAGCCACTGTCACTAATTATTTGTTATCTGCAGCCAAAAGCTGTCCTAACGGACCTGGGATGTGCCTGGAGACCGAGAGACCAAGGAAGTATCCGAAATATCCACATTCACATATTCATTTATTATTCAACAAATATTTATTGAATGCCTACTACATGCCTTTTCCAGTCCGAAGCTGGGAGTATAGTCAAAATGTTTGTTTAGACAATAGTCATCAGCACAGACATTGGTCAGTAAGACCCCCCACACAGACATATGGGTGCCCTGGAGCTGTCTTGATTACATCAGTGACAAAGTGGACAAAATCCTCTGCCCTGGTGGAGCCTGTATTCTAGTGGGGGAAAGAGCCCAACCAATCAATAATAGAGTATGTTAGAGGGGGAGTATTACAGAGAAAAACGAAGCAGTTATAGTAGTTCCTGAAACAAACACCTGGCATATGTCCAACTCACACTTAGTATGGAGGCTCTTACAGTAAGTCCCCAAATTACAAACAGCTAATTGACATAGGACTTGCACTTACAAATGGGGGCTATGATAGGTAATAGGTAAAAGTATCTGTTCCAACTTACATGCGGATTCAACTTCTGAACAAGCCTATAGATAGAGCCTATCTCATTTGTAACCCAGGACTGCCTGTGTTTTAAGTACAAGCTTAAGGTCCAGAGCGCACCGATGTGCGCACCCACATGCACACACACGAGTGTACACACAAGCTCATGCATACATAAGCATGCACGTAGTGTTTTGATGAAACTCCTGCAACTTTGATGTAACCCCAAGGACAAAAGAAAATTCAACCTGATTTGTGGGATTATCCTGAATTGTCTCCCTGAATTGTCTAAGATTATATTTTTACCTTAAAAATTGGTCATATAGGCTGGGCACGGTGGCTCAGGCCTATAATCCTAATACTCTGGGAGGCCAAAAAGAGAGGATTGCTTGAACTCAGGAGTTCAAGACCAACCTGAACAAGAGCGAGAATCCTTCCCCGTGTCTACTTAAAAAAAAAATAGAAAAATTAGCCAGGTGTCATGGCAGGCACGTGTAGTCCCAGTTAATCAGGAGTCTGAGGCAGGAGGATCACTTGGAGCTCAAGAGTTTGAGGTTGTTGTGAGCTATGATGATGCCATGGCACTCTACCCATGGCAACAGAGTGAGATTGTCTCAAAAAAAAAAAAAAAAGCAGACAAAGAACTGATCATATGATAGGATGCAACTCACACCAGTCCGCAAGGTGCCTGTCACCTTGACCTTCAGCCAGGAGAAATGGAGAGTGAGCACTGCACTCCCTGGCCATGGTGCTCACCTGCAGCGGGCAGTTCACCTCGTCAGCAGTGCACTCCAACCTCCTCTTCACCGTGTCCGTGCTGTGGTTCTCGGTCAGAAGCCTCTCCAGCTCATAACTCAGCTCCGACTTCCAGAAGCTGATGTCCGACAGCCTCTGGCTCAGGTTCCGGGAGGTGCCCTCCTGCATCTGACGCGTCAGCTGGTCCTTGTCCTGCATGAGCCGCATGGAGTCACCCGCCAGTTGGCCAGCCCACAGCCGGGAGGCCTCGGCCCCCCGCAGCTGCAGCTGGCTGGACTGCTCCCAGTCTTTGGGGCTGTAGCGACAGAAGAGCGCTGAGCGCAGCACCGGCAGGATGGTGGGTGGTCGCAGGGCACTGGGGCACTCTTCCGCACAAGTCTGGGCATCAGAGATCTTGTAGAAGAGGCTGGGCCTCCAGGAGTTGAGGTAGCGACAGCCGGGCAGGTAAAAAGGCTGGTAGCAGTCCTGAACCATGGGACCCTGCACAGCGGGGGGCAGAGTAGTCAAGCCACAGTTTTTCCTGGGGCCACAGTAACTGGCGGTCTGCGTGGTCCCAAGAAACTCCATCCTCCCCTATCAGCCCACTCTGGAAAACTCCACCCAACAGGGCAAAGGCATCACCAAGAAAGGGGAAAGGGCTTTTCTTAGGGACTAGCAGAACCTCTATGACTCAGCACTTGTGTCATAAAGCCTGGGCCCTTGTTGACTGACAAGCCAGCAGGGGGCATATTGTCCACATTAAAACAACAACAGCAACAACAAATGAATACAATCCACAGACTCAGGATGCAGGAAGTGGCACTTTCTCCTTCTGTGACAACTGAATTGCCTTGCTAGACCTGACTCGGTCCTATGGGAGAAAAATTAATGTAGTCTACTCAGTAGACTCAATTAGCTTAGGTAAGGTTAGGAGCTTTCTTTCTATCTTTGTCCTCAAGGTGGCTAAAATGGCCCATCAGTCATATCATGGAATACTACTCAGCAATACTACTCAAAACAGCACGAGGGAATCTCAAATGTATTAAGCTAAGTGGAAGCAGCTAGGCTCACAAGATGTCGTCCTGTGTGATTCTGTCCATAGGACATTCTGGAAAGACAAGGACAGATCAGTGGTTGCCAGGGGCTGGTGGTGGGACCAGGGTTTTCTACACAAGGGGCAGGAGAAAATTAGAGAAGAGGTGATAATCCTGTTCTGTACTCGACTGTGGTAGAGGTTACACAATTATACCTTTTTGTCAAAACCCATAGAACTTTCCACTAAAAAGTGAATTATACTATCCATAGATTATACTTTAATAAACCTGACTTTAAAAATTAAAGGGAGGCTGTCTGGGCACAGTGGCTCATGCCTGTAATCCCAGCACTATAGGAGGCTGAGGCAGGTGGATCACTTAAGCTCAGAAGTTCAAGACCAGCCTGAGCAAGAGCGAGACCCAGTCTCTACTAAAAATAGAAAAACTCGGCTCGGCGCCTGTGGCTCAAGTGGCTAAGGCGCCAGCCACATACACCTGAGCTGGCGGGTTTGAATCAAGCCTGGGCTCACCAAACAACAATGATGGCTGCAACCAAAAAATAGCCAGGTGTTGTGGCAGGCACCTGTAGTCCCAACTACTTGGGAGGCAGAGGCAGGAGACTCGCTGGAGCCCAGGAGTTGGAGGTTGCTGTGAGCTATGATGCCATAGCACTCTACCCAGGCGGACAGCTTGAGGCTCTGTCTCAAATAAATAAATAAATAAATAAAATAAAATAAAAATAGAAAAACTGGCCGGGTGCCGTGGCAGGTACCTGTAGTCCCAGCTACTCAGGAGGCTGAGGCAAGAGGATCTCTTGAGACCAGCAGTTGAAGTTTCTTTGAACTATGGTGCCATGGCATTCTACCCAGGACTACAGAGTGAGACTCTGTCTCGAAAAAAATAAAAAATAGAGGAAGGGATGTGGAGCCCCCTGAGACAGAGACCATGTCTACTTTGCTCACTGTTAAGTCCCTAGCATCCAGCACACGAATGAATGAATGGGTATCATTTCAGAAAAATCATTCAATTCTATATTCTATAATAGTATTTTTACTGTACCAAGAAATCCCTGCTCCCTTTGGCTGTGAGAGCGGCACAAAGTAGCAAGCTGTTAGACCAGATGGTTGCACAATGGGAAAGAGAAGAATCTAACTCTCAAACGGGCCTTGTCAGTAGAAAATGATGTTCAATGGCAATTTTCTCCCCAATTGCCTAAGACTAAGAGTGGGAATGAGAGGGAGAGGGTGAAGAGAAATAGTATCTCTTAAGCACCTTCTGTATACTTGGGCTTTACATATACTTTATTTTCACAGCCAACCTGTAAGAAATGGACACCCCCATTTTCCAGGGTGGGGTAAGACCGGCGAGTGCACCCTCGCCCCTCTCGGTGCCTGCAACACGCACCTTGCTTGATCCTTTAAGATGAGATACCACACACAGGAGGTGCTTGCACACAGAGGGCAACACAAAAATGGACCAGAAAGATTCAGGGTATTTTTTAAGCATTGAATGTTTATGGTAAAATAATTTTCTGTGCAATATCAAAAACTATAAAGTGAAATTTAGGGTTTCTCCTCAACCTTGGCTGCCTGTAGCTTCCCCAGATAGAACTACTACTATCAGATGTTCCTGGAAATATTCTATTCACACACAGCACACACATGTACAAGTATATAACACGAGTAATAAATAGTGTACATACCATTTTCTATATAACAGTGGCTCTTGGAGACCATACCATTTCATCTGTCTTTTCCTCTTTGGTAGCTGCCCACTACTCCATTATTCAGACAGTACTATTATTTATTTGGCTATTTTCCATGGCTGAGTATTTAAGTGGTTCCCTGGCCTTTGCCATTGTAAACATTGCTGCAATAAATACTCTTCCACGTGCGACCTTTTAAAGTCAGGTTTCTCGAGGTATGATTTTCACCCAGTGACTCTCACACTCCTCAGCACACAGTTACACACGGGCACGCCACCACCCGCAGCCAGGATTAGAACACGTCTCTCGCCCCAGGAAGCCTCTTTGAGTCCACTCCCAGCAACCAATGGGCCCTCCATCCCCCACAAATGCCCTGGGAAAGGACTCATAGGATGCGGCCCTTTGTGCCCCGCTGCTCTCCCTTAGCAGGATGGTAAATGTAATAAACATCCTTGCACGTGCATTCCTGGGTGGGTGTGAGCGTAACTTCAGAAGAGGTTTCAGGATCAACGAGCATAACTTCGGAAGAAGCTTCTGATCAAAAAGCCTGTGTAGTTTTTACTTGGGTATTATCTTGAAGGTCTCCCCTCCTGTGGGCCTTGGTTACGTGCTTTATCACCACATACTTTTTACCTGCAGATATGCTGTTCCCGGGCTGCTTTGAATGCTGATGCTGGCTCCTGATTCAGACACCGGGGATCCTGCCCAGGTGTGGTTCCTGCCTGTCTGATGTGGCTGGGAGCCCCATTGCTGCGGGTATGGGGGAGCTCAGGCATGAATACCAAAGGTGGGTACAAGGGACTCCCAAGCTCCCCACCTGGTGCCAGTTACAGGTTGCTGTGGACGGGGTGGCCAGGCGTCACAAAAGCATGAAGAAGGGCCTAAAAATGCCCTTTGATGACTTCCGGGGTGGACATCTCTCTGCAGGCTGGGAGTGTCCAGGGCCTCGCTTGCCCTGGCTCCAGGTCACTTGCTTGGATGATTTGGGGAGTGTGTGAGGACAAACTCTGCCCAAAGCCCTCTGTCCACAAAGTGAAACCAAGTCATCAGAGAAAATGAACTTGTCTGACTGGTGGGGCTCTGGTTTGATTTTCTCAAGTAAGGTTAAGGCCCCTGGAAGGAAAGAATTAATCTCAAATTCCTGATGTTTGACTTTGCATATAATAGAGCTACATTTTGACAAAACATTGTATGTACTTACATGCATGTGTGTTTTCGTGTGTGGGTATGTGTATAACCTATGTGCATTTTTTCCTGCTGTAAAGACAGACAAGAATCTATCTCAGGGGTCACATGGTGAGGCAGAGGGTAATCTGTATGGTGTAATATTGCTATTTAGAAAGTGAAAATTTTAGTTTTTACATGAAATGTTTTACTGAATTCAAACAATATATATATATATCTTTAAAACTGAAGTGTATTCTCCTTTTATTTGTTAATTGTATCAAAACTAAAAAACTAACCCAAAATGTAACTATTACTGAAAATGTTGTACAGAAGAGGAAGATATTCACTGAAATGACCTCTGGGTGTCAAACACACTGGTAAGCGGCTGCTTAGAGACCCTTGTCCATTGCTAAAAGATTGTTTCCAAGGCTCTTAGATCATGTTAATAGAAAACAAGTCTCTCTCTCTCTCTTTCTTTCTTTTTTTGAGACAGAGTTTCACTATGTTGCTCTCGGTAGAGTGCTGGGTCATCACAGCTCACAGCAACCTCAAACTCTTGGGCTCAAATGATTCTCCTGCCTCAGCCTCCCACGTAGAGGGGACTACAGGCATTGCCACCACGCCCAGCTATTTTGTTGTTGTTGTTGTCATTGTTGTTTAGTAGGCCCGGGCTGGGTTTGAACATGCCAGCCCTGGTCCCAGTGTATGTGGCCAGAGCCTTAGCTGTTGAGCTATAGGCCCCGAGCCGAAAACAAATTCAGTTTCTAAGAAGCCCAGTGGATAGCAGAATCCAACCTGCTGTGGACAGTGGAACAGGAAGATCGATGACAGGGGAAGGGGAGACCTCGCTTGTTCCCACAAGTAGGGTTCCTGATCCTCTGCCCCTACTTGGCTTCCTGCACTCTGGACACTCCAGGCCTGTTTTCCTGACATCTTCACCTGCAAACTGCACAGTCTGTTTGGAGATGGCTGCCTCAGCTCCCCAGCAGCACATCTGATGTGAAACCCACCTGTCTGCAGAAGGAAAGCCCTGAGATGTCTTAGGTGACGGCCAAGGTGGTGCTGTCCTGAAGAACTTTCTAGAGTCACGGGAGCACACTGCTCTGCTCAGTGGCATGTGGTAGCCACTGACCACGTGGGGCTCCTGAGCACTTGTGACATGGTTAGTCAACTGAGTCATGGAATTTTGAATTTTGGTTTATTTTAATTCATTGAAATTGCCACAAGTGGCCAGCACAGGGCCAGAATATTGACACGTGCATAACAACTGTGCAGACAGAGCGATGAGGTCGAGTAATGCCAGGGGAGGCGAGCGTCTCAACACACTGTCCCGTGGGTAAAAACGGGGAGGAGTGTGGCATTTGCTTGCAAAAGCACAGGTCATGCTGGAAGGGTCACAGTGCGGGAAGATCTGGCACAGGACAGGAGGGGACTTTCCAGGCGTGCTCTATGTACGTTTTGTATTTTTAACCATGAGAACATATTACTATAATAATTCCCAGCGTTGATCCATTTAAAGGAATTGCTAAGTGGCTGCAGGGAACAGGGGGAGGATTGCTGAGTGTTCGTGGGGTTTTCTCAACAATACTCAGCCTCCACTGAGCCCTCACTGTCGGTCAGGGGATGTGGCAGCGCTGTGTGTGTGTGTGAGTGTGAGAGGAGGGGTGTGATTGTGAGGGTGGCTGTGTGGGTGAGAGAATGTGAGTGTGGGGGTGAAGGTGTGTAAGTGAACATGTGAGTTTGTAAGAGAA